AAAGAGACAGGGTCTTGCTATGTTGCCCTGGTTGGTCTCAACCAATCGTCCTGCCTCAGCCTCCCAAAGTGGTGGGATTATAAGCATGAGCCACTGCATCCAGCCTTTACATTTTTAATGGTTAAAAACAATAATGTTTTGTGGCCAGGCACGGTGGCTCAAGCCTGTAATCCCAGCACTTTGGAGGCTGAGACGGGGGATCACGAGGTCAGGAGATCGAAACATCCTGGCTAACACGGTGAAACCCCGTCTCTACTAAAATACAAAAAACTAGCCGGGCGAGGTGGCGGGCGCCTGTAGTCCCAGCTACTCGGGAGGCTGAGGCAGGAGAATGGCGTAAACCCAGGAGGCGGAGCTTGTAGGGAGCCGAGATCTGGTCACTGCACTCCAGCCTGGGCGACAGAGCGAGATTCCGTCTCAAAAAAAAAAAAAAATGTTTTGTGATATGTGAAAATTATATGAAATTCGCATTTCAGTATCCATACATAAAGTTTTATTTGAGCACAGTCATGCTCGTTTGTTTATATATGGCTGCTTTTGCACTACAATTGCAGTTAGGTAATTGTGACAGAGACCCTATGGTCTGCAAAGCCTAGTATACAGTCCTTAGTCAGACATGGTGTACTGTGCCTGTGGTCCCAGCTATTCAGGAGGCTGAGACAGGAGGATCCCTTGAGCCCTGGAGCTCAAGATCAGCCTGAGCAACATAGTGATAGTCCATCTCTAAAAAGAAAAAAAAAATGCCTATCTCTGGGCTATAGTGACCTCAGCTTAAGGGAGAAAAGGCAAAAAGAAGGAAGAGATGGGAGGAAGGGAGAAAAAGAAACTGGAGGGATGTGGAGAGGGGACAAAACAAAATAAACTCTATAGAAGGAAATATCAAGGAAATATGCTTATCTAACCTTGATACAGGGTAGGAAAAAGTCTCCTCTGAGAATTTCATAACCAGAAGCTAAGCTGCACATGGGGTCTGGGCCTGACTGTGGGTCAAAAACTTTAAACAGAAAATTTACTTTAAGGTGGTCCTGGATGCTGGTCCCCCAGCTTCCTGACAGAAGCATAAACAAATCCTCTGAGGAAAAACTCCTTTGCCTCAGGCCTAAAAGATTCCCACAGAAAAACTTCCTCAGAACAAAGGTCTCTGGGGGGAAAAAAAGAAATATAAAAAGAAAAAGAAAAAAAAAAGGAAATTTCCAAAGAACATGAGCTCATAGTCAAGAATCACAAAAACACAGGGAAACAAGCCCATGAGTAATAGCCAACAGAAACAACAAATTACAGAACCAGACCCCAAAACATTAATAGTTATTGGAATTACTAGACAGGACACAAGTATGTTTCATATGTTGAAAGAAGGGACTGAAAATACAAATTAGGGAAAAGAGACTGAAAAAAATGACCAAGAAGAGATGAAAAAATAACCAAATAGAATGTCTAGAAAAAAACTTAAAAAGTGAAATTTAAAACTTGGTAAATAGACTAAACATCAGATTCGACACAGCTTAAAAGGAAAATCAGTAACTAGATGAGAGATCTGAAAAAAATAATCCAGAACACAGCATAGGAAGAGAAAAGTAAACATGTAAAATGCAAGAGGCAGTGAAGGATAGAGTAAAAGAAGGATAGAGTAAAAGAAGGATAGAGTAAAAAGGTCTGACATACAACTAACCAGAGTACAGAAAGACAGAAGTATGGTGGCACGCACCTGTAGTCCCAGCTTATGTGGGAGGCTGAGGTGAGAGGACGGCTTGAGCCCAGGAGTTCGAGACCAGCCTGGGCAACACAGCAAGACCCCATCTCTAAAAAAATAATAATAATAAAATTAAAATTAAAATTAAAAAATTAGCTGGGCATGGTGGCACGTGCCTGTAGTTCCAGCTAGTTGGAGGCTGTGCAGGAGGAATCACTTGAGCTCAGGAGTTTGAGGCTGCAGTGAGCTATGATTGTACCACTATACTCTAGCCTGGGTAACAGGGCAAGACCCTGTCTCTAAAAAAATAATTTAAAAAAATTTTTTTTGTTTTGAGATGGAGTTTCGTTCTTGTTGTCCAGGCTGGAGTGCAATGGCGTCATCTCAACTCATCACAACCTCCGCCTCCCAGGTTCAAGTGATTCTCCTGCCTCAGCCTCCCTAGTAGCTAGGATTACAGGGATGTGCTACCACAACCGGCTAATTTTGTATATTTAGTAGAGATGGGGTTTCTCCATGTTGGTGGGGCTGGTCTCGAACTCCCGTGATCCGCCCACCTCAGCCTCCCAAAGTGCTGGGATTACAGGTGTGAGCCACCACAACCAGCCAAAAAAAAAAATTTTTTTTAAAGAGTAAATAAATAAAAGCAGGACGGCAGGAAAGACATAATATTGAAGAGATAATATATGAGAATTTTCCAGAATTGATGTTTCAACATGAAATCTTAACTCAGGAAGTCTAAGAAATGCCAACCAAATAAAAGAAATACACATCTAAACACAAGAAATTGCTGGGCATGGTCTCACGCCTTTAATCCCAGCACTTTGGGAGGCCGAGGCAGGTGGATCACTTGAGCCCAGGAGTTTGAGACCAGCCTGGCAACACGGAGAAACCCCATCTCTACTAAAAATACAAAAAAATTAGCCGGGCATGGTGGTACATGCCTGTAATCCCAGCTACTCTAGAGGCTGAGGCAGGATAACTGCATGAACTCAGGAGGTGGAGGTTGCAGTGAGCCAAGATTGCACCATTGCACTCCAGCCTGGGTGACAGAGCAAGACTCTGTCTCAAAAAAATAAAAAATAAATAAATTAATTAACACAAGAAATTGTGGAATTATTAAAATGAAAGCTAACTTCTCAATACCAACAATGTTGAGAGAAAATAATTCTCATCCTAGAAACTTATATCTGAATTTTTTACTTAGTGAATCTATCTATCTATCTATCTATCTATCTATCTATCTATCTATCTATCTATCTATCTATCTATCTATCTATTTTTTTTAACCCTGAACAAAGCCAGAAACTATCTTTCATGAATAAAAGTAGGCTGGGCGTGGTGGCTCACATCTGTAATCCCAACACTTCGGGAGGCCAAGGGCGGGTGGATTGCTTGAGCCCAGGTGTTTGAGACCAGCCTGGGAAACATGGTGAAACCCCATCTCTACCAAAAATACAAAAAAAAAAAAAAAAATTAACCAGGCATGATGGCATATGCCTATAATCCCAGCTACCCAGGAGGCTGAGGTGGGAGGATCACCTGAGCCCAGGAGGTCGAGGCTGCAGTCGGCCATGATCACACCACTGCACTCCAGTCTGGGTGACAGAGTGAGACCCTGCCTCAATAAAAGAATAAAAATAAAATAGAAACATCTTCAGACAATTAACTACCAACAGACCCTTACCAAAGAAAATCCTACTTCAGGCAAAAGAAAAATAAATCTGAATAGAAAGTCTGATATGCAAGAAAGAATGGTGAACAGAAAAGGTATAAATTCATTGTTGTATCTGAACAAATATTGACTGTATAAAACAATTAAAAAATCATAAATTGTGGTGTTAAACTAGTTAGAACTGAGCACACCGAACAAAACAGCCTATAAATTAGGGAGGAGTGAAACAAGTAAAACTTTTTTTTTTTTTTTTGAGACAGGGTCTCACTCTGTCACTCAGGCTGGAACGCAGTGATGCTCAGCTCACCCCAGCCTTAACCTCCTGGGCTCAAGTGATCCTCCCCCTCAGCCTTCCAAGTAGCTGGGACTATAGTGTGTACCACCATCCCTGGCTAATTTTTGTATTTTTTTTTTTTTGTAGGGAATGGGGTTTCGCCATGTTGTCCAGGCTGGTCTCAAACTCCTGGGCTCAAGCAATCTGCCCACCTCAGCCTCCCAAAGTGCTGAGATGACAGGCGTAAGCCACTGTGCCTGGCCCAGGTAAAATGTTCTAAGACCCTTGTATCATTCAGGAAAGGGTAAAACTACTGAACCTTGAGATTCTATTAAGTATATGTTTAAAAATATTAAAGGTAACCACTAACAGGATTTTTAAAATAAAGTACATATTATCCACAGTTGCAGAGAGAAAAAAGAGGTGAGAAAAGAATACAACTTAATCACTCAACTTAATCCTCTGAAAGAAGTTAAGAAAGGTACTTTCCCCTCCCTAAAAGATATAAAAACGGCTGTACCCTGCGCTTTAGGAGGCTGAGGCAGGTGGATCACAAGGTCAGTTTGACACCAGCCTGGCCAACATGGTGAAACCCTGTCTCTACTAAAAATATAAAATTAGCCGGGTGTGGTGGCGCACACCTGTAATCCAGCTACTTAGGAGGCTAAGGCAGGAGAATCACCTGATCCCAGGAGGCGGAGGTTGCAGTGGGCCAAGATCGCACCATTGCACTCCACCCTGAGGGACAGAGTGATACCCTGTCTCAAGAGAAAAAAAAAAGATATAAAAAGGTAGGACAAATAACCTAAGATGGCCTAAATAAATCCAAATACAACTAAAATCACAATAAAACCAAATGGACTAAATTACATAATTAAAAGACAAAACACAGTTCTGAACTGCACAAGAATGCATCCAAGATATTCCTCTCCCTGGTTTTCATCCTGAGGGCAGTTTAATAATCCTAAATCCCAGGGTCCACTCTCAATTCTCTGTACACACCAACATAACAACAATAATAATGGCTAACACAAATAGAGAGCCCACTATATGCCAGGAACTACTCTTAGTGCTTTTCATATATTAACTCATTTAATAGCAGGAAGTTGGATTTTACAGCTTGGGGACCAAATTTCACTCATACGAGCAGCAATAACTGGACCAAGAGGCAGCAGGTGGAACACTCATGGAAGGGAGACCATCCCCGGCCACATCGACCACTTACCCATTTCTCCCGGAGCCGGTTCACCTCCTCCTCATGGGCTGCCTTCTGCTGCTCCAAGGCAGTCTTCCCTTCTTGCTCAGCCCGGGCCAGTTGTCTGGCTGCAGCATCCCGCTCCTGCTCTGCCTGGCTCCGTTCATGTCCAGTTCCAGCTTCAGGCACCTCACTTCCCCTAACATGCCAGGGACAGGATCAGGCCTCTGCCCCCCTCCTTTTACCTAATAAAATTCTCCCTCTCCCCTGATCTCATGAGCAACTCTCATCTCAGAGGACCTGCACCCTACTGGAGAAGGACCTCTAATTGTCTCCCACTGTCTTCCTGTCTCTTCAACATCTCCATGGAATGGAGTGCGCCCCCATCCCAGTTGGGTTCTCACCTTGGATTACTTCCTTGGCTTGAGTGACAGTTTGAATCTGGACCTCCAGCTGCCCCTTGGTGACCTCTATCACAGAATTTGTTGTTGGGCTTCAAACAGACTGCTCTCTAGTAGCTCCTTGGCTGAGCTGTGAGGTTCAGGAATCAGAAGAGTTTCTTACCCATCAAGCCCCTTACCCTTCCTCAAGAGGAGTTGGGTTCTAAGTACTGGCTACCTGGAGAAGTTAGGGGGGCAATTATAAATTCATAATCAATTTAGGACCTACATACTTACGGCAGGGAGCTTAGCTTCACGCCTTTGCCTTGCAAAGCTCTCTCTGTGCTTGGCTGAATTGAGTCTGGGCCCTACCTGAGCCCCTGGAGTTGTTCAGCGAGGTCCTGCCGGTCGCGCTCCACAGCCTGCAGCCGCACCTCCAGAGCCGCTTCTCTCGTACTAGGGCCTCCTTCTCCTGGACTGCCCTGGCAAGCACTTCTTCCTGTCGCTTTGCCTCCTGATGTAGCTGCTCCAGCTGAGTCGTGGCTGCCTCCTGCTGGTGATGTGACTGAGGAGAAGAATGTGGTGAGAGATGGAGCAGAGCCTGGATTCCCCCTGGGGCCGCTACCACCAGGTTAGGGTCATTGGCTCTTCAGAGATTCTGGACCCAGCTCTGTGAGCCCAGATTGCTTACCCAATAGCATGCGGCATTTATCTATTTCCCTGATCAGCCCACAGATCCCCCAGCCCAGGAAGAATGCTCCCCTGTGAGCAAGACCCTGTGCTAGGGACAGCTTGACACCTGCCCCTAAGGAGGTTTTAGTCTTGAGAAGATGCACACATAATACTAGGAAGAAAGTCATCAATGTCCCAAGAAAGGGACTCTGTGAAGGGAGAATCGGTACAATTATTAGGACAATGAGAGGTTGTGTAGAGGAGAAAGATGACCTTTGAGCCAGGTCATTCATTGGCTCAGGAAAAAAATTTACTCAGCCCCTGTTATGTGGTAGGCACTATGCTAAAAGCTGGAGGAATAAAAACAACTAAGACATAGCTTTGCCTTCAAGAGCTTTTGGTCTAATGGTGAAGACATATAAACAGATAATTATAGCATGAGGAATGTGATGGTTAAAATAAGCATACAGTGCTATCAGAGTATAAGGAGAAGCTTCTAATTCAAACTGGGTGGTGTGAAGTAGTGGAGAATTAGTGAAGAATTCTTTTTGTTTTTTGAGACAGAGTGTCATTCCGTTGCCCAGGTTGGAGTGCAGTGGCACGATCTCAGCTCACTGCAACCTGCGCCTCCCAGGTTCAAGCGAGATTCTCCTGCCTCAGCCTCCTGAGTAGCTGGGATTACAGGTGCGTGCCACCACACCAGGCTAATTTATGTATTTTTAGTAGAGACAGGGTTTCACTATGTTGGTCAGGCTGGTCTCGAACCTCTGACCTTGTGATCCGCCACCTCGGCCTCCCAAACTGCTGGGATTACAGGCATGAGACACTGCGCCCAGCCTCAGTGAAGAATTCTTATAGGCATTCTTTTTTTAAAATTGGAAGATATACTGCAAACTAGTACACTGATCATTTCTAGGAAGTAAGACTTTTTCACTTTCCAGATAATTTCTGTAGTGTTTTAATTTTTATAATGAGCATGTATTACACCTAAATGTGATGGTGTCCATTTTGCCTTCTTACCTCGCTTAGTTTCTTTTGAATTTCTTCCTTCTCTTCTTGGATGCCCCTGAGATCTGCCTGCAGCTCAGCCCCAGCCTCCTCAGCTTCTGCAGCTGAACCTCCAGGTGAGTGTTCTTTTCCCACAGGGCTTCCCGCCTCTTCTCTGCCTCCACCAGGTCTACCTGCAAAGCGTTTCTCATCTGCTCTGCGGCCTCCATTCTGCTGCACACAGACTGGTTCTCCTCCTCTAACTACTGGCCAAAAAGGGAAGGGAGTACAGGCATCAAAGACAAATGATTAGTTTAGGAATCAAATGCTAAGACTGAAATCCAAGTGGGATATGAATCTATTCTCCAAAGATGAACAAAGGAGTGTTTATAAGATGGGGGGAAAATCCATTCATTTGATCTAGTGCCTATATTCCAGGTACTAGATGGGCTGGATGCTGGGATGGAGATATGAAAGGCAAAATCCTGCTCTCAAATAATTCAGAATAATGGAATAGAGAACACTCAAGGAAACAGAGGTTGCAAGAAGGTTCCATCACTATAATTATAGGTTAAATTTGTAACCTATAGAAAAGATTCTTGGGATTTAGGATCTTCAGCAGATTCTTTTCTGGTGATTGCTATTATCTCACCCAACAGAATTAACAACCTAGTCTTTGGCCGGGCATGGTGGCTCACGCCTGTAATCCCAGGACTTCGGGAGGCTGAGGTGGATGGATCACCTGAGGTCAGGAGTTCGAGACCAGCCTGGTCAACATGGTGAAACCCCATCTCTACTAAAATACAAAAATTAGCCCGGGGCAGCCAAGTGCAGTGGCTCACGCCTATAATCCCAGCACTTTGGGAGGCTGAGGCAGGTGGATCACCTGAGGTCAGGAGTTTGAGAACAGCCTGACCAACATTGTAAAACCCTGTCTTTACTAAAAATACAAAATTAGCCAGGCATGGTGATGCATGCCTGTAATCCCAGATATTCGGGAGGCTGAGGCAGGAGAATTGCTTGAACCCGGGATGCGGAGGTTGCAGTGAGCCAAGATCGTGCCACTGCACTCCAGCCTGGGCAACAAGAGCAAAATTCCATCTCAAAAAAAAATTAGCCAGGTGTGGTGACACATGCCTGTAATCCCAGCTACTCAGGAGGCTGAGGCAGGAGACTGCTTGAACCCAGGAGATGGAGACTTCAGTGAGCTAAGATCACACCGCTGCACTCCAGCCTAGGTGACAGAGGATCCATCTCAAGAAAACCCAGCCAAAACCTAGTCTTCCTTCCAGAACACATGGGCCCCTTCCCAACCTTAATGACTTACCCTAAAGCCCAGAGCTGGTTCTGCTGGAGGTGTGGGAGGGAATATTTATAATGGCTAAGCCCAATCCTTACAGTATTTGCTCTCCTCTGCATTGTAAATGTTCCTTTTGCTCATTTCAGACCTACATTTGGGAGCTGATCTGTCTTGCCCTCAGTTAGGGCCCAGCCCTTCCCTGGGGATCAGGAAAATCTTTGCTCACCTGGAGAAGCTGCTGGTTCAGCCCAACTTTATCTAAGGCCAAAGCCTCATTTAAGGCACTGAGCTTGACAGCTGCAGCCCGAAGATCAGCTACTTCTGTCTTCAGGGTGTTTTCAGAACTCGACAGCTCTGCAATTGACTGCTCTGCCTAAAAACAGAGGGTTAAAGAGTTTCATATTTCCAATTTTCCTGGAACAGTGAACAGTTCACATTCCCAATACTGCTGCTTTTTGGTACGAGATTAGTTAATACTCCATTCCCTCTCCTGCATTCTAAACAAGTTTTCCCTTGATTCATTCATTAAGCAGTAAGACGGGAGCTCACAGTATAGAGATACCAATGTTACGATAGAGAAATGACTATGATTGTAATGACGCCACAGAAAATGTAAGCACAAAGTGCTCTGGGAACTCAAAAAAAATATTAATATAGTTTGGAAGAGTCAAATATGCTTGGTAGAGGAGTTGATGATTAAGTTGGGAATTGAGAGATGAGGAAGAGTTTGAGCATAAAGGAGGAGGAAAGAAGTAGTGCAGAGAAGGGAAAAGTATATGCAGAGTATTGGAGTCATGAAGAACATGGAATAACTGAAAAGGCAATTACTGCTCTGTGGCAGGAGCAAAGGATATGAGATGTTTAGGAAGGGTTTTGCAGTAGAAGAGGAGGCTAAAACACAGTTTGGGGCACATGACAAAAAGTTTCGAATGTGGCACCACAGAGCTAGAAAGCCATTGAATGGTTTTAAGAGACTGACATAACCAGGTTTATACTTTAGAAAACCCATTCTAATTCCAATATAGAGGGTATGCTGGAAGATAGAGAACCCAGAAGCAGACTAATGACTGAGGAAAGATGAGGGATCCTGGCTTGAAGGTGAAGAATGAGGCAGGCTGCATGGGAACACACTTTCGAAGCCGCCCACCCAGCAAATGAGGAGAGGAGGCCACGCACCCTAGCCAGCGCTGCGGTCACTTCCTTTTGCTCTTGCCTCAGTAACTCCCCTTCCAGGCGACTTGACTCCAGGGCTTCCCGAAGAGTGATCAGTTCACTGAGTGATTCTGACTGTTTGGCTTCCAGGCCCACCAGCGTCTCCTGACTAAGATGGGAAGGAGAGGAATCTAGAGGAACTCTTAGGGATGGGCCGTAACCCCAAAGGTAACAGGAATTTAATCACCTTTGCTATGCAACAGAATGAGGATGGTCTATAAACACTGATAAGGAGAGACTTCTAAGACATGTCAAGTGAAAAAAAATCAAGGTGCAGAACAGTATATACATAATACACTACCTCTTATACAAGAAAGTGGGGGAAGAAAGAATATATGCCCATATTTGCATGAAGGAACACTGGCAAGATAAACAAGAAGTCAACTAAAATGGTTGCCTAAAGGGGGAAGGGAAATGGGATGGAGAAAGCACAAATGAGAGTGAGACTTCTCTCTCTGTATCTTCTTAGCTCACTGAAGCCTCAAACTCCTGGGGCTCATGTGATCCTCCCATCTCACCCTGCCATGGCTACAGGCACATGCCACCACGTTCAGCTAATTTTTTGCTGTTCCTGTAGAGATGGAGGTCTCACTATGTTGCCCAGGCTGGTCTTAAACTCCTGGCCTCAAGTGATCCTCCACTAAGGCCTCTGAAAGGGTTGGAATTACAGGAGTGCCTAGCCTTAAAATAGTTTTGACTTTTGAATCATATAAATGTATTATCAAGTCAGATAAATAAATTTAAAAACATATTATGATCTCTGTGGATTGTCTGCCCTTCTCCTTGGTACAGGGAGATCATTCTTAGCACAAGTCATGACCCTTATGGCAGCCCTTCAAGCTTCCACTATTCATGACTACCAGGTACAAGGAACTGGGGCACAGGAGAGGAGGGAAATACAGCAAAGATGAAGATATATCCCTACTCCCAGTTATTAAAGACCTACCATATGCCAGGTTCTATGCTGGCATTTTCCAAACATTGCTCTCATCTTCCAGCAACCCTTCAAGGTAAATATTATCATCATCATTCTACAAATAATCTGTCCATGTGACAGAGCCATAATTCAAACGAAGCTTTTGCCCAGCTCAAAGTCCTTGCTTTTCTGTGACATCATAAAGGGGAATTAACAGATTAGCTGGGGCCATTGATTCTGGATTTCCCTTTCTTGACCAGCTAGCGCATTTCCCATTACTTCCCTGTATAAGGCTTACCCTTTAGCCAGCCCAGCCCACTCTGAACATGCCATGAACCTTCCTGCCTCCTTTTCTGTGCTAATCTATTCCTTGAGCTCTTCTCCCACTCTCTATTAACCAAATAGGTCAAGGCCCAGCTCAGAGTCTACTCTCTCCTCCATAAAACATTCCCTAGTCCTCAATAATTAGCTGTCACTCCTGTACTCCCAAAGGACTTAGTCTGAAACTCTATTTAACTCATACTTCATCCAGCCTCATGTCACAGTTAGTTGTCTGTCTTCTGGCAAGTTCCCTGAAATCAAGGCTTTTGTCTTATTCATTTCTGTATCCCCCTCAGTGTCTCATCCCATATGGGTGATCAACTAAGACTTAACCAACCATGAACTTTCCATATTCATCTTTCTGCAAAGGAAGAAGCAGCAAGCTAATCTGAACCCACTGCATGCCAGAGTTCTACATACTCTACTTTCTAAGAGAGGAGAGTAGGAGGGGAAGGTGTAGAATTGAAGGAAGACCAGGCCCCAGCGAGGAGGAGACTGGTCTCACTTACAGACGCGCCCTCTCCCGGACAGCCAGGTGCAGCTCCTCCTGCTGTTCCTCCTTCTGGCCCTGGGCAGAGTCCCCCTGCAGCTGAAGCTCCACATTTGCCCTTCGCAGGCGCCATGCCTCCTGCTCTAGCACCTCCAGCTGCTGCCGCAGCTCTTCCCTGGCCTTCTGCAGCAGCTCTCGCTCCCTGGAAGAAGGGAATCAGAGATGAGCAGAGACCGTGGGACCTAAAATTCTTTCTGGAAGCAGGCATCACAGGGTCAAAAGACCCAGTTTCAACATCCCATCTTCCCTTTTGAGTGTGAAACATTTTTATCATCACAAAGACTCCAACTCCCAAAGCTTGTTCTGGAGAAACAAGTGGAAACAGGGTAAAACAGCCAAGTCTCAGGGAGAACAGGATCAGCACCCCCAAAAACCTGATGGGAGTGGGTAAATGGCTGGATGATGACTGAGACGAGACCAGGCTGGGAGGGTGGGATGAACAGCCCATCTGCTCACTTGCTGAGAGAGTCCACCTCTCCCTGGAGGTCCACAGTCTGCCCTGCCAGAGTGTCTCGCTCCCCACTGAGCTTCTGCAGCCGCTGTCTCAAGGCTTCGCCCTCTTCCTCCCACTGATCATGCTGCTGTTGCAACAAGTTCACAGCCTCTTGACAGCCTGCAAGCTGCTGCCTTAGGTCCTGTGGAGGGAGAGCAAGAGAAACCAGACGATGAGCAAGAGCAAAGGAGGGATTTCAGAACCCTGAAAGTGGGGCTGGAGAAGGGGGTTGGGGGATGGTGCAACAAAAGTAAGCTGAGAAGGGAGATGCAACTATTCAAGAAGACAGTCCCTCAGAGGTCACTGGGCTTCTGTGGCTCTAGATTCTTAGAGTTCGTCATCTCCAAATGTACAGTGGCATGGGGGAGTGGTAAGTGTGCCTAGGACTCTCAGAGTTGGAGAACATTGACCCAATAATCTCCCGGAGCTCTGGTTCCCAATCTTTGCATAGTGTTATGCAAAGATTGTACACAAAGTGAAGCACGCCATTGGCGTGGAGAATGTGCCTGCTACTCACAAGCACAATTCAGCAGACACAGGCAGATTCATTCTGAGATACTGACAAAACACCTCATGACTGGTCAACAAAGTAAAAGGCGCCGGGCGCGGTGGCTCAAGCCTGTAATCCCAGCACTTGGGAGGCCGAGACGGGCGGATCACGAGGTCAGGGGATCGAGACCATCCTGGCTGACACCGTGAACCCCGTTTCTCTTTAAAATACAAAAACTAGCCGGGCGAGGTGCGGCGCCTGTAGTCCCAGCTACTCGGAGGCTGAGCAGAATGCGTGAACCGGGAGGCGAGTTGCAGTGAGCTAGACCGCCACTGCACTCCGCCTGGGCGGCAGAGCGAGATCCGCTCAAAAAAAAAAAAAAAAAAAAAAAAAAAAAAAACAAAGTAAAAGGAAGTATAGGCTAGGGGTACCTGGGGCACAACCAGTTTAACATACACCCCTGTGACTGAGGGGAATGCTGAGGGTTCTTACCTGCACAGCCTGGCGTCTCCGAGTCAGCACTGAACGCACCAGAGTAAGAGCCTTGTCTGGATCCTGGTAATCAAACTGGCAAACGATACTAGAGTCCAATTCCAAAGAGTTCTCATGATCAGAGCCTTGGGCTATATTGTCCCCTTCTTCCACCATGACCTGAAACCCAATACAGCAAGGTCACCACCCTACTGACCAAAGCCTAGAGTCTATACAGGGACTTAACCCTGTAGCCTGGACAAACCTGATGTTTTCCTTCTCAGGTCCTCTCCCTTGGGGAAGGAGGGGAGTATCCGAGAGCATAAAAGTCTGGTTCCTTCAACTCTCCACCTTTGGTCACCCAAGTCTAGGACTAGCAACAAGGCTAGAACACTGTCTGAGGTAACAATAAATGAGGAAATGAAAGAAGAAACGATTGAGATATTGAAGACCAGAATCTAGCCTCCAGCCTGAGAACTGCAGCTAGAAACAGGAAAGAGGGCCTGTCCCATCAGGTAGTGCTAAGACACGAATGCTTAGCTATCTCTTAGGGTTCTGGTCTTCAAACACACAAAACTCATCCCCACAAGACTTTAAGCACCCAAACCTCAGAGACTGGAAATCTAGACAGGACTGAAAGGACATAGAGACCTGGGGAGTGGAGGCATAACCTGGTTACCATGAACAGGAGGCTTCCCAGTACCTGGGTTATATCCTTGATCACCTGCTGTAAAGACAACTTCTCCTCTTGGGCATTCCTACTAAGAGATGCTTCATGTTCCATTAATTCTGTGTGATTTGTCTCCTGAACAGGGAACAGAATAGAGCCTCAGAGTCAAACTATCAAAAGTGAATTTATTACTCCAGGACCCCAAACAACCAAAGTCTAATTCTGTCTGTTCTATCAGCCCCACTTTTTCCCTGACCATGCATCAATGCTAATATGTTGCCCGAAGAGTCTGAAGACAATGTGATGTGGTGATTACAAGTTTAGATTAAGTGATAACGAGTTCCAAATTAGACTTCACTGATTAGAATTCTGCTCTATCATTTACTATGTTGGTAACCATAGTCAACAGTTTCTTTGAGCTTCTTTTCTTTAAAATAGAAATAAGTAACAGCAACTACTTGTTTTGAGGCTTAAATTAAAATGCATGTAAATTATTCAACATAGTGTCTGGAACAACGCAAATGTTCAATAAATGTAAGCCATTATTAGACAGGGGATGGGTGCTGTCTCTGAATAGTAAATGGATGCTTGAGACCTAATGCTAAACCAGAGAAACCTCTAGCCCTAAAGCTAGACATAATCTTGAAGACTCAGGAGTTCCTCTCTTCCTTCCTATTTGTGTTAGTGAAGGCCTGAAGACACAGACTTGCAACTATGTTTTATTTGGCTTATACAAAATTTGAATCAACATTTATAAATGGAAAGATTTTACATAAAAATATACGTTTCTGGCTTCTTCCAAAAAGTTAACAAATGGGCCACACCCAGCCCCATTCCTACATGGAAATGATTCACTGAAGTTGAATGGTGGATGCCTCCTCTAGATGAGATATTTATTATTCAGGGTCTCACAATCCCTATTACTCCTCACAGTTTCCTTAATACTGAGCTCAAGTGACCCCTGCAGTCTTGAAAGCTAAATACAACAGCACTGGAAAACCAGAATTCTTACAACTGAACCCACTTCATTTATTTACATTATCTGAGCCCCGTGGATATTCTGAATTGGCAAATTCCTGGAAAAAAAAAAAAAAGGAATCAGAAAGCTACAATCCCTGTTGATCTCAGCCTGGATGACAAGACTAAGGGTGTGCATTTGAATAGGGGTTCGGGAGCTACCTAAAATCAGAGATCTGAAAACTTGTAGAGATTAAACATGGTATTAAGCTGGAGGGTTCTAACATCCAACCTTAGAGAATCCCTCTGATAACATCCCTGGCAGATGTTAAGCCAATGACCAAAACTTCACTCCTTCACAAGACAGGCTGTTCAACTACTGAACAGTTCTAGTCGTGAGCCAGAATCTACTCCCCTATTAACTTCTAGCTATTGACATTGGTTTTGCCCTGGAAAACATTAAATATGTAAATTCTCCTTTCTTTTTTCTTTTTTGAGACGGAGTTTCACTCTTGTTGCCCAGGCTGGAGTGCAATGGCATAATCTCGGCCCACCACAACCTCCATTTCCCCAGGTTCAAGCGATTCTCCTGCCTCAGCCTCCCGAGTAGCTGGGATTACAGGCATGCGCCACCACATCCGGCTAATTTTTTGTATTTTTTTTAATAGAGATGGAGTTTTTGCATGTTGGTCAGGCTGGTCTCAAACTCCCGACCTCAGGTGATCCGCCCACCTCGCCCTCCCAAAGTGCTGGGATTACAGGCATGAGCTACCACGCCCGGCCCTTCATAAACTCTCTTTTCCCAGTGTCAGTCCTTCAGATATGTGAAGGTGGCTATCATGTCTTCAAGGGCCTTCAAAGGGCCTCAAGCTCTTTCTTCTCCCGGCTAAACACTGCCGCACTTCTCAGTTGTTTCCCATGTGATTAGATTTTAAATCTCTCCACACATCCACTTCCTGGTAACTCACTAATTTGCCAATGTGTCTCTGAAGGTATGTGTCAATTCTCTGGTAAGGACACACTGCATACATATGCCATTGCAATTTCCCCAGGAATACAGTAGGGATAGTAGGCAGTCAATAATATTTATTCAATGAATAAATGAATGAGTTAATTAATTTTCAGATTCAGCCAAAATTTATTTTTTAGCTTTAGAGGATTTCATCACAGAATATATAACTGGTATCCTGTACTATCTGTCCATAAAGGACAAGGAACCTACAAGCCCACGACCAATTCCTTTCCAGAACAAAGGATCACGTACCAGGATCTCCACTGTCTCTCTCAGAGCCTTTACCATCTTTTCATAATCTTCATTTTGCTTCTGAGACTGGGTCAGCAGAGCAGAGAGCTCAGTCACCCTAAAGAGAAGAGCATAGCACTGTCACCAGAACAGCCCATGGATGTGGACAGAGCTACAATGCAGCACACCCCAGCCCCAACCCCAGCCACTCCCAACTGCAGCCTCCCCCAAATCCCTTAGGCACCCCTAGCCCCTCTGCACTCCCTGAATACCACATGATGCTATAGCCTTGAAGAGGGGGAGCAAAAAACCACTCAGACACATGCAGGGATTTACCACATCTCAAGGCTGGAACACGTGTTTGGGGGCCCGAGAGCTGAAGGAAAGCCCTGGCCCAGGCCCTTCCAGGCCTCGCTTGATCTTGAAGTCAAGCACCCTGAAGCCAATAAGAACATCAGAATTGCACATGGGATAGTCCCAAGGTCCCTCCAGCCCGAGGTTCTGACTCTGATAGGGAAAAGGAAGGGCAATTTGGGGAAGATTATGTTCAACCTTCTTGATATTAATCTCAAGGTCCAGCAAAATCACCAAACACTTAACACTGTACTTGGAGCTTACTGCTTGCTATCATGTGAGTGGCTAAATATTTCTTGAATGAATGCTATATAAAAGTTTAATTTTTTTTCAAATTTTTTTTCAAATTTTTTTTTGAGACAGGGTCTTGCTCTGTTGCCCAGGCTGGAGTACAATGGTGCAATCATAGCTCACTCTCAAGCAATCCTCCTGCCTCAGCTTCCCAAGTAGCTAGAATTATAGGCGCATGCCACCACATGGCTATTTTTTTATTTTTACTTTTAGTAGAGACAAGGTCTCACTATGTTGCCCAGGCTGGTCTCAAACTCCTGGGTTCAAGTGATCCTCCTGGCTCAGCAAAAGTCTTAATAATTTTATTCTATACCATCTCTAAGAACCTTAACACACTGCATGGTCATTTGTCTAAGTATTGCATCACTCAACAAACATTCACTGGCCAGCCACGGTGGCTCAACCTGTAATCCTAGAACTTTGAGAGGCCAAGGTGGAAAGATTGCTTGAGCTCAGGAGTTCCAGACTGGCCTGGGAAACATAGCGAGACCCCACCTCTACAAAAAAATTAAAAAATTAGCCAGGCATAGTGATGCGTGCCTGTAGTCCCAGTTACTTTGAAGGCTGAGGCAGGAGAATTGCTTCAGTCCAGCAGGTCAAGGCTGTGGTGAGCTGTGTTTACAATACTGCACTCCAGCCTGGGTAACAGAGCTAGACTCTGTCTCAAAAAACAAAGAAACAAAATATATTGAGTGTCTAGTATACGGCAGGTGAAGTACAAAGCACTAGAAATACAAAACTTACTAAGACTTGGTCTCTGCTTTTGTACTTCTCAGTGCCTCCAAAAGCAAAAACGAAAAATAGCCCTGCATTTTATGTATGTACCTCCAACAGGTGAAGACACAACCCTCATCATGGGCATATATGAACTTTGTCCTGAGATTCAGTGGGGCTCTCCGCTCATTTCCCTGCCCTTCTACATCATTATTTTTTAAAAACCTACTTCATTATAATCCAAAAATTAAAACAGCCTAACCAAAAAAGAAGGTGGGGGAAACTAAATCATCAATGAGATCAATGCTGTAATAAGAGGTCAAAAGACCACAGGGGCACAGTAACTTAGTAGGCTACCGAGGTCAGAGAAGGCTTCATAGAAGAGGTGACATTTCGGTGAGCTGCAGTGGCTCATGCTTGTAATCCCAGCACTTGGGGAGGCTAAGGCGGGTGGATCACGTGAGGTCAGGAGTTTAAGACCAGCCTGGCCAACATGGTAAAACTACTAAAATACAAATATTAGCAGGGAGTGGTGGCATGCGCCTGTAAACAGTCCCAGCTACTTGGGAGACTGAGGCAGCAGAGTCACTTGAACCCGGGAGGCAGAGGTTGCAGTAGTCGAGATCATGCCACTGCACAATAGCCTGGGCGACAGAATGAGACTCCATCTCAAAAAAAAAAAAAAAGAGGTAATATTTGAACTGTGCCTTAGAGGATAAGGCAGAGAGAGAAGGGAGGGAGGCATTCCAGACTAAAGTTAGCAGGTGCAAAGACAGGGAAGGGAAAGAGCTTGGCTGTTCTGGGAATGGCAAGTACTTTGGTGTTGATGGAGGACGGAGTGATAGCTAGCTCTGTACATCACAGGAGAGAAACTGGGCTGAAAGACAGGGCAGAAGTCAGTACAAGACCCAACTGTGGCATCAGGTTTCAAAGCAGATTCCCTCGGGCACATCTTCTCCCCCTCCATGGTAGGAATGTTCCTGGCATTTCCCCTGCCTGTCCCTAACCCTCTAAAGGAGTCGGCTCTCTCTCAGCAAACCCTTCCTGGGACCCCAGGCCATCTCACCGGTCCTGAAGTTCAGCCTTCTCCAGATCCCCTTGACTCTTCAGCTGTATTAACTCCTGGCTCCTTTCATGGGCTTCCTTCTCCAGCTCCTGGGTCTTGGCTAGTAGCAGCAGCAGCTGGGCTGGCTCCCGCCCATCCATTCTTCCAGATCCGTTGGGTTCCCGAGACTGTGCTCCCATAGTCAAGCGCAGACAACAGGTCAACAGGGACCCCGAAAGCCTCACATGCTCAGCTTTAGCTCCGTCAAATCTCTGAGTACAAGCAAGGAAAACAGCAGACTCCACTAGGAACCAGGGAAGGAGTGTGGTGATCAGGCCCAGTGAAGCCTGAGAAGCAGGGCTAGGAAAAATCATCTGCTTCCAACACCACCAACTCCCCCACCCCCATAGCTGATGCCGCTTCTATAGCAGCCCACTGTTATCAGTCCAGAATTGGTGGGGGCAAACCTCCTCCCTTCTTTTCCCCACACTGACCTGTCAGTAGCTGACTTCATTTCCAGGAAGTGGCGTCGGAATGTCACCACTTCCCGCCATAGACTGAGAAGGCGACCGTGCTCCCCTTTCAGGTAGCCCTTGAAGAACTGTGTGTTCAGAAACCCAGGTCATACCCAAAGGCAGAGGGCTATCTTTTGCCAACACAAGAGTCTTGGATTCCTCCTGACTATTGAGGAAAGGAAGGAGGGACTTACAGGAGATAGTTTATGAACGGGTATCTATCCAGGTTATGCTGAAGGGTTTAATGAAGTTGGCAGTGGGATTCGAGAGGTCAGAGAGCCTAGGATGGTATATTGCCTTCCTCTGGGCCAGATTAGAAAAGGATACACAGTAGCTGCTTAACAAATGGGATCTATTACCACAGACTTTTCTAAGCAGGAGTCAATGATATACATAAACCACTGAGCACAAAGCAAAAATGCAGGAAACATTTGTTTCCTTCAGCTGGGACCTGAAAATTCCCCAGGGCCCATAACTGCTCTTTCTTTCCCATTCAGTTTCATATCTACCTCTTTAGCATCTAGATATGCAAGACCTCCAGACCAGGAGTCAGTAAGCTTTCAGATCCATTGAAAACCTAAGCTCATCACTGCTGCAAGAAGAGTTGCTATGAGTGTCATGCTACCTCCAACAGAACCTAGACTAGGCAGGTAGTAGCAGGTCTAAGCTGAAGGCCCAAGAAGGGTGAGGCTGCCAGCATGCACAGGTAAGGATGGTCAGGGACTTTAACAGCAACAGCTCAGTTTCCATCCAAGTCCTGAAGTTAACCCCTTCCAGTACTGACCAGGGCAGCATCCAGAATGCACAGCCTTCCTCTCGCAGTTCCAGTCCCCATTCTTCCTACCTCCTGCTCCATCCGCCACTGGCTCTCCTTCCTCATTAGCTCATCCCGGGCCCGGCTCCAGTCCACTGTCATTTTTCCACATCTTCCCTAAGGGCTTTATTCACCACGTCAGCTTTTTCCATGTGCAGTCGAAGCTGGGTATTCACCTCTGCTAGACTCTCACACCTGCACTGGGGAACGGTAAAAGCGGGTACAAAATAAAGGTCTGGTCCAACACTTGGACCTCCTGGGAGTAAGATGGCAACCACTGAAATTTTCATTGCAGGAATTAGAGGGCTATGGCTGAAGTCCATGGCTCTAATCCACATTAGCCCTCAGGGCAGAGGTTTCCCATCAGCCTTTTCCACCAACTGGCCTATCACCCAGGTCAGAAAGTTTAGGGTCCATCACCTCTGCTGCTCCTCCTCCAGTCGGACCAGCAGCTCATCCAGGTTTGGCTCCTCCACATTTTCCCACCTCTGGGGGATTGGTCCCTGCGCCAGACAGAGACAAGCCTTAATAACCTCCAAAGAGAACATCACTCAGACCAGTTCCCTGAGGCTCCCTTCCATGACAGTCCATTTCTTTTTATTCTTTCTCCCCTTTGTTAGCAATATGCTTCTCTTCTCAATCACTGCATCCCTCACTCCAAAAGTAAAATGATGACCTCTCCTGAAAGACGGCCTTCGGTAGTAAAAAGAATCTTCAACCTAAGAAGTGATATATCTTTCACTAATGGCCTTAACTTCCACTATACTAATTGTTTGACCTTGGGAAGTGACTTAACTTCTTTCATTTTTTTTTTTCTGGAGACGGGTCTCGCTCTGTCACCCAGGCTGGAGTACAATGGCATAATCTCAGCTCACTGCAACCACTGCCTCCCAGGTTCAAGTGATTATCCTGCCTTAGTCACCCAAGTAGTTGGGATTACAGGCACCCACCACCATGCCTGACTAATTTTTGTATTTTAGTAGAGACGGGGTTTCGCCATGTTGGCCAGGCTGTTCTTGAATTCCTGGCCTCAAGTGATCCACCCACCTCAGCCTCCCAAAGTGCTGGGATTACAGGCATGAGCTACCACACCCAGCATGGGAAGTCACTTAACTTCTTGGAGCTACAGTGTCTCCAGCTACAAAATGAAAGTGATATCATTCCCTTCAGAAAGTTGCTGTGCAGGTTAAGAGACACAATTACAGATGCTCCTTGACTTATGCTGGAATTTCATCCCATAAACCCATCATAAGTTGAATGTAAGTTAAAGATGTGTTTTCAACTTATGACATTTTCTTTTTTCTTTTTTTTTGAGATGGTCTAGCTCTCTTGCCCAGGCTAGAGTGCAGTGGTGCAATCTTGGCTCACTGCAACCTCCGCCTCCTGGGTTCAATGATTCTCCTGCCTCAGCCTCCCACGTAGCTGGATTACAGGCAGGCACCATCATGCCCAGCTAATTTTTTGTATTTTTAGTAGGGATGGGGTTTCACCATGCTGGCTAGGTGGGTCTTGAACCCCTGACCTTGTGACCCACCCACCTCAACCTCCAAAGTGCTGGGATTACAGGTGTGAGCCACTGCGCCAGGCCAACATTTTCAACTTATGATATTTTCAACTTAACAGTGAGTTTGGGCCGGACGCAGTGGCTCACATTTGTAATACCAGCAGTGGGAGGATTGCTTGAGTCTAAGAATTTGAGACCAGCCTGGGCAACATAGAGAGACCCTTGTGTCTACAAAAATAAAAAAATTAGCCAGGTGTGGAGGCATGTATCTGTAGTCCCAGCTACTTTTTGGGAGGCTGAGGTGGATGATCACTTAAGCCCAGGAGGCTAAGGCTGCAGTGACCCGTGATTGCACCCGTGCACTCCAGCCTGGGCGACAGAGTAAGAAGACTCTGTCTCAAAACAACCAACCAACCAAACAAACAAAACCAACCAAACAAGCAAACAAAACAACCCCAAATAATGGGTTTATCCAGATGTAACCCCATCATAACCCAATGAGCATACTGAATGCATATAGCTTTCACACCATCATAAAGTTGAAAACTTGCAACGATCCTAAGTTGCAGGGACTATCTGTATATGACAGTGCCTCATGCTGCCTGGCCTGCATTGAAGGTGCTCAATAAGTTTTGGTTCTTTCCTTCCTCTGAGAGAATTTTTCTGAGGAAAATGTGAGGAGGTACTGAGAGGGAGCTGGAACAAAGGCAAATAATGGGTTTTTCAAAGCCAGTTCTAATAGCACAGACATCCCTTTGCTGTAATGTGCTGCAGGCTCGCAAAGGCCTGCATCTAAGACAAACACTGACACCTGCTGGGGGAAACATGCACTTCTTCCCACTAATCCCACACTCCTTCCAATCTAATTTACATTTTGTCCTTTGAGAACCAAGGGTTGGAATCTGACAGGCCAGTTAGGTCCAATGAAGATATCAGTGTGATAAACCTCTCAGAGGCTGAGAAAGAGAGACTTCTACCAAACACCTCACTTGTACACTCCAACCTCCCTCAGTGAACAAATGAAACCTAACAAGTATATTCACTGAGGACCCAGGGGGCACACAGAGCTCAGCCTCACTCACTCCAGTGGCTTCCAGCCGCTTCTCCAGCTCTTGGCACCAGCTCCGGTACTGCAGCACCTGTGGCAAAAAGAACAGGCCCTGGGCAATGAACACAGCTGGCACAAACAGCGCAAAGCAAAGGCCCTGAGAATCTTAGGCAAACTGCTATGAACAGGGAAACTGGGTGGTGACAGTAAGGTAAGGCCATAACATCTTATAGTTTCTATTTGGGCATTTTTTTCTTTTTTGAGATGGAGTCTCGCTCTGTCTCCTAAGCTGGAGTGCAGTGGCGCAATCTTGGCTCACTGGAACCTCCGCCTCCCAGGTTCAAGTGATTCTCCTACCTCAGCCTCCCGAGTAGCTGAGATTACAGGAACATGCCACCACACTCAGCTAATTTTTGTACTTTTAGTAGAGACAGGGTTTTGCCATGTTGGCCAGGCTGGTCTCGAACTCCTGACCTCAGGTGATACAGCCACCTCGGCCTCCCAAAGTTCTGGGATTACAGGCATGGGCCACCGCGTCTGGCCTTATTTGGGCATTTAAATAACACTTTCTATATAAGCGAGACTCCATCTCAAAAAATAAATAAATAAATAATACTTTCTATATGCCTTTATATCATAGAGGCAAGATCATGGCTTTGGCTCTAGACTAGGTGAGGAAACCTGGATAACTAACTTAACCCTTGTGAATTTCATCTTTAAAAGAGAAATATTAGTCGAAAGTAGTGGTGTACACATGTGGTCCCAGATACTCGAGAGGCTGAGGCAGGAGGATTGCCTGAGCCCAGGAGGTTGAGGCTGCAGTGATCTGTGATCATACCACTGCACTCTAGCCTGGGCAACAGAGCAAAACCCTATCTCAAAAATAAAATAAAATAAAATAAAATAAAATAAAATAAAAAGGATTCAATACATACCTCATGGAACAGTTGTGAGCATCAAAAGAGAAGCTGTACATGAAAGCTAGAAGGTCTGGGTCTTATCTCACCAAGCTAGATGTAGGCCAATCCCACCACAAGGCTCTGCCTCCTACAACCCTTATCTCATCTCAGCACCCAGCTCTGGGGGTTGTTCTCTTTCCCCTCCTCAAAAGGGCAGCTGCCTCACCTTGGCCTGCAGCTTCCTCACAAGGGTTGCTTGTCTCTGCTGGGCCTCCTGGGAGTTCTTCAGCTTCCGCCAGGAGGCTGCCTGATTCTCCGCCATCTGCTGCTGTAGTGCCAGCACCTGCTCTTCCAGCACCAGCTGCAGTGACTGGGGCTTCATGTTGTTCAACCCAGGGTTTCTTGTCTCCATGAGGGCACCAGGTGGCAGGCCCACAGGTCCCTAGGTAGCCAGAGGGTGTTCACGTCCAGCAGAGTCTCTAACCATTGCCATGCCACTTCAACCTCCTCTTGAACTGGGGACCAAAGCACATAGTCAAATTGAAAGGACTGTTCTTGTACTATATACAAGACTCCTCAGAACCCTTAAAATACTAAAAGGGACCCTCATCTCTGAATGGCACTATGATGAGCAGCATTCCCCAAATTGAACTGACCATGAGACAAGCTCACAGGACTAGTGTCTCCTGGCATGCCTTTTGGAACTCTGCACTAAACCAAGAGCTCCTGGTTTATCACTGCATCCTTAGTTGCTGGCACAGTGGCTCACAAACCCTTGGTGAATGAATCGCTGAAGGCGTTCTTAATCTAGCAGGGGAAATAGGCACAAACAATTACAATACATACAATGTGGCATGTGAAATAATAAGATGGTATGAGAAAACAAAGGAAGAGAACTTAACCCAGCCCAGGGGTGCTGTGAACTGAGTGAATCATCATCATTGTTAACACTTGCTGAGTGCTTCTGGAGTGCTGTTGCTTTAAGTACTTTACATGCATTACGTCATTTTGTTTTTAGAAAAATCTTGAAACCTTCCAATGCCTTCCCATTACACTTCACCAAACGTACTATTATAACTCTTTATATATAGATGAGGAAACTGGGGCTTTAAAAGGTTAAAAAACTGCCAGGGCCGGGCGTGGTGGCTCACGCCTGTAATCCCAGCACTTTGGGAGTCCGAGGCAGGTGGATCACAAGGTCAGGAGTTCAAGACCAGCCTGGCCAACATGGTGAAACCCCGTCTCTACTAAAAACACAAAAAATTAGCCGGGTGTGGTGGCAGTCTCCTGTAATCCCAGCTACTCGGGAGGCTGAGGCAGGGGAATTGCTTGAACTGGGAGGTGGAGGTTGCAGCAAGCTGAGACCATGCCACTGCACTCCAGATTGGGCGACAGAGCGCGACTCCATCTCAAAAAAAAAAAAAACAAAAAACAAAAAAAACTTGTGCCAGGCCACACAGCTGGCATGCAGTTGATGAGAGATTTGAACACAAGTAGTCTATCTGACAAAGAAAAGGAGTGGCAGGCATTTCAGGCAAGGGATCCAAAAGAGAGAAGGAACCAGTAGCAGCAGGATGGCCAAACACCCTCACCCACCAGGAGCTGGGCTAAAACAGGGCAATGGGCCACCACAGGCAGAGGCGGCCAGCCTAACGGTGAGCTTCAGAGATACCCAGGACAGGGGAAGGCATGGTGGTAGAGTTCTGGGTGCTATTCCAAGGTCTGCCTCCAATGGGCTCTGTGACCTCAGATGTGCTACTTCCCTTTCAATTTCCTCATCCAGAAATGAGGGCATCATGACCTCTGAGTTACTTAGGCCTCTAAAACACACAATTATCCCACAACCTGGGCCAGGGGAAGAGTTCTCTCATTTTATTAACCCTAAGACTCTCACCAGCAGGGCTAAGGAATATCTGTATTTTCAACTACCTATCAACAAAATGGTATATACAACGAATGTAAACCTAACATCTGCACATAGAGTAGAAATTTCAAGGGCCCCAAATCCCTTTAATGCACCAAACTATTGATTTCCCACATCCTGGCTCAAATGCCATGTCCTATCATGTCCTCCCAGATGAACCCAGAAAGAGTTACTCACTTTTATAGCTATATACACAGAGAGAATACATATGTTCTGATGTCTACTCTGCATCTTATCATCATGGTCTATTTTCTCTGCTAATCCGTAAGTGCCTCAAAGGAAGGAGCCGTCTAATTCATTGTAAGTTGTCAATAATGTCCAATGAAGAAATCCATGTGAGCCTCACTCCTGGCAGAGCTGAGCCTTGGGCCAGAGATGACAAATCAGGGCCCTGCTAGCGCTTTTCAGCCATTGTGTGGCCCACATAATAGTTTTTAAGCATTCAAATTAGGTGCCGACATTTATCACTGGGAGAAAGTACATAAAATCCATATTTCTGGTTCCTTTGGAAAATCAGAATACCTAGTGACGCTTGACCCATATTTCAATAAGGCAACAACCAGTGGCACAGTTGAATAGTGCCTGCCCCTTTAGACAGGGCACGAGCTCCGCACAGTTGAACAGCGCCTGCCCCCTTTAGACAGGGCGTGTGCTCTCCAGTTCATCATGGCCTCCCCATACACACACCGATTCTCTCCCTCACAATGACAGCATATTTCAGTTGTCATTTATCATTGCAACTGTGCTATTGTTTCTGCTATAGTAGCACTATAGAGGAAAACTCGGCTTACTAATTTACATTACCTCCTGAACAACCGAAGATACTTGAGTTTGCAAAGCCTGTACTAGGCAGTAAGGAAAGTGCATAAAGTAAGAACAGAATGGCACCAATAAAGGTTTGGTGGCACCAGTACTCCAGGCCTCTTCTTAGCCTATGAACCAGGGTAATACAACCTTTCCCCATACTATGACACCCTCCTTTTCAGCCTTTTTGCCAAGGCTGTGTGACCAACTCACCATGGTACTATGAAATGCTGGCTCTGTTGAGTGCAATGAAGCTCAATCCCTCTCTGCTGGTTGGAGGCACAGACTTTCCAGGAAACGGTTCTCTTATCCCAGGATGTCTGCCAACAACTCTACCTACAATAATGTAGATCCAAGTTACTTCAAGGGAACTGAGGAGTCTTTTCTCTCCTAGTACTGTGAGGGCTGAGCCAGGCTTTTGCATGCAGTGGGAGTTTATGAGGCCCTAAAGGCCCCTCACACTTTGTTGAATCCCTATCCCAAAACATTAGGTTGAACCATAAGAAATTGCTAATATTATCCTATTATTATTATTATTATTATTATTATTAGAGAAACGATCTAGCTGTCACCCAGGCTGGAGTACAATGGTGCAATCATAGCTCACTGCAGCCTCAAACTCCTGGGCTGAAGGGATCCTCCAGCCTCAGCCTTCAGAGGAGCTGAAGGTGTGTGCCACCAAGCCTTTTTTTTTTTTTTTTTTTTTTCCGGTAGAGACAAGGTTTTGCCTTGTTGCCTGAGCTTGTCTCAAACTCCTGGTTTCAGGCAGCCACCCCCTGGCCCAAGCCTCCCAAAGTGCTGGCATTATGGGTGTGAGCCACCAAGCCCAGCCTCACCCATTATTTTTTGCCTACAAAAATGGCAATTTCACATAGTTCAACCTAATATCTCTAATAAGCAGTCCTGCCACACATAGTTCCATGAATTCTCATTAAGTTTTCTTTTAGGATATGGCTGTCAGTAACTTGCAAACATGATTTGGCAAGGTAGTATTAGTAATACTTCAACAAATAAATGAAATTATATTAGAATTATATAATTACTTTAGCAAATAATTAAAAAATTGTAAAGCTATTTAGAAATTTAGTCCAACCCCCTCATCTTGCAGATAAAGAAAATGAGGCTTGTAGAGATAAAGCAACTTCATTTTGTTTATATTTTTATATGCCCAGTTATCTCAAAAATAATTTGCATGGCCAGGCGCAGTGGCTCATACCTGTAATCCCAGCACTTTGGGAGGCTGAGGCGGGCAGATCACTTGAGGTCAGAAGTTCGAGACCAGCCTAGGCAACACTGTCCAGCCTGGGCGACAAGAGCAAGACCCCATCTCAAAAAAAAAAAAAAAAAAAAAAGATTTGCATTATAGCAAATATACCATACTAAAAGGGAAGACTGGGTGCAGGGTGTACAGGAACTCTCTGTACTATGCAATTTTTCTGTAACCCTAAAATTGTTGTAAAAAATAGTTTAAAAAAAGATTTTGTTTTTTAAAACCAAAACAATCCTCATAAAACTAAAATTTATTAAAACAAGAATAAAAGGGAAGTGACAGAGAAAAATTATCTCAGGAATCTTTCTGAAATTCAGATTTAATTCTGAGCTTCCTCAAGACACAGTTCAGCATCCTTTTATGAACACACGCGGGATCAGATCTGCTAGGAATAAACTAGCAGAGCCCCCAAAGGGAAGGTAAGTTTCAACGTGCCTGAGAAAGGGAAAAGAGCAGTAGCTGGCAAATTGTAACAAATTGGATTACATTCAAATGAGATAATGAGTGTCTCTGTACTTCTAAGCTGTAAACCACTGAGCCAATGTTATCATTACTGCAGGAAAAGGGAAAAGATTCTTTGGTACATTAATTTATCCCATAAACACTCATGAATTTCAACTCAGTATCAGGAGTCTGCCACGGTGGTACAGAAATGAACAAGACCTACCTTCCTACTTTTGCTAAGAATCAGACGGGGAAGACAATACCCTTACTAAAGACCAATAGCCACCTGTGAACCTGGAGTGGAAAGTGACAGAAGAGGGAGATAAATTATGTATTTGGTCCTCTCTCATCCAAAATACTACAAAAGGAGTATTTAAATAAAGTTTACAAGAGAAGCAACACCACCACCTAAACTTGGAATAGAGGCATAAATGCTACAAGGACTAAGATGCAGAATGGTATTAAATACAATTTGTCACTTAAAGCAAAAACTGAAAAATATTTGAGGACACAAACATTGTATTTATTGAAAAAGAAACTACAGTGTAGACATTTGTGTACAGAGACAATTTGTTTCTTATTCTTGAAAACAAAAAAACCAAATTACCATGCAGCTCCTTATCTAAATCTCATGTGGGGCCTTTCTCTCTTGTTCTCCTCCAACCTCTGGCCTCTCCCACTCAGTCTCCTTTGCTGCCTTTTCTCATCTCCCCAATATCTGAAGTTTGGAAACCCCAAGGCTTCAGACCTCTTCTCCATCTCCATTCATTTCCAAGGTAATCTGATCTAGTGTTTTGTTTTGTTTTTGAGACAGGATCTGGCTCTGTCACCCAGGCTGTAGTGCACTGGCATGATCTCAGCTCACTGCAACCTCTGCCTCCCTGGTTCAGGTAATTCTCATGTCTCAGCCTCCCGAGTAGCTGGGATTACAAGCATGTGCCACCACGACCAGCTAATTTTTTTGTATTTTTAGTAGAGACAGGGTTTCACCAAGGCAGGAGGATCTCTTGAGGCCAGGAGTTCAAGACCAGCCTGGGCAACACAGGGAGATTCCCACCTCTAAAAAAAAAAAAAACAGGCTGGGCACGGTGGCTCAAGCCTGTAATCCCAGCACTTTGGGAGGCCGAGACGGGCGGATCACGAGGTCAGGAGATCGAGAACATCCTGGCTAACACGGTGAAACCCTGTCTCTACTAAAAAAAATACAAAAAACTAGCCGGGCGAGGTGGCAGGCGCCTGTAGTCCCAGCTACTTGGGAGGCTGAGGCAGGAGAATGGCGTAAACCCGGGAGGCGGAGCTTGCAGTGAGCTGAGATCCGGCCACTAATATGATCTAATATGATAATAATAGATCATATTATCACCAATGGTCTTACAAAATGCTAACAGCTCTATTAACTATCTAAAAAACAAAAAACAGACTGAGTGTGGTGGCTTACACCTGTAATCCCAGCACTTTGGGAGGCTGAGTTGGGCAGATCATTAGAGACCAGGAGTTCGAGACCAGCCTGGCCAACATGGCAAAACCCCATCCCTCCTAGAAATACAAAAATTAGCCGGGCATGGGTGGGCGCCTGTAATCCCAGCTACTCAGGAGGCTGAGGCGGGAGAATCGCCTGAACCTAGGAGACAGGAGGTTGCAGTGAACCAAGATCGCACCACTGCACTCCAGCCTGGGTGACAGAATGAGACCGCGTCCCCCCCCCCCCAAAAAAAAAAAGTAGGGGGAGGGATATAACTTAAACCTTGGTCAGCAGCAGAGCAATGACTGAACCCCAGCCTGATTCCAAATTCTACTATCTGCATTACATTAGCTGCTAAAGCATGGACATTACATTACCTAAAGCCATGGACTACGAACTCACAGCTTTGTGAGCGGCACTTCTTAAATAGGAATAATGACACCTATGTCTGCAGCTTTCTGATCGAAAAGGAGCAAAGAAAGGTAGAACTAAAAGAACAGAGGGCGTACCAGTAGCCTTGGTTTTGTTGTGACCTCTATAAATTTGGGAACACCAGTTCTCCTTTCTAAGCCTTCTCAGGAAAATGCTGATTACAATCCTAGCCTCCAATAACTCCCAAGGCCAAAGTAAAGATCAATTCAAGAAACATTCATTAAACCCAAAGGCAATCTAGTCAAGTTATCAAATGCCCTGGGGACAGTTTCCCAGCTCCATCCACTTATTAGTTGTGGGACTCTCAGAAAATTACTTTTTCTAATGTACCTCAGTTTCTTCATGGGTAAAACGTGAAGATACAGAAAGATCTCACCCCACAGGACTGTTGGAAAGATTAAATAGGCCTTTGGCCCAGTGCGGTGGCTCATGCCTGTAATTCCAGCACTTTGGGAGGCCGAGGCGGGCGGATCACCTGAGGTCCAGGAGTTCGAGACCAGCCTGGCCAACATGGAGAAACCCCGTTTCTACTAAAAATATAAAATTAGCCGGGTGTGGTGGCGCATGCCTGTAGTCCCAGCTACTCGGGAGGCTGAGGCAGGAGAATCGCTTCAACCCGGGAGGCGGAGATTGAGGTGAGCTGACATCGCGCCATTGCACTCCAGCCTGGGCAATGAGCGAAACTCCGTCTCTAAATAAATAATAAATGGGCCCTTATGTGTAATGCATTCAGTAGCACCTGACAATTTGTGACCATTCCGTACAGTGAGCCACGACTATTATCATCACGTGCTAGGCCCTGGGATCTACAGGTGAAAAAGGCAAGGCATAACATCTAACGAAGGAGCTTACGATGTCAACAAGGGGCAGGGAAAGTAACTCGGTGCAGCGAGTGCAAAAACCGAGAAGCGAATGCAGCTGCGCCTGGAGAAGGAGGCGGCGAAGTGATACTTCAGCAGGGTCCTGAAGAATGGGAGCTCCAGAGTTGGGTGGCAAGTGGGACTGGGCTCTGGGATAGATCACGTGCAAAGCCGCCAGGACACAGACAGCGAGAGGGGCGGGAGGGCGGGAGAGCGCGGCGCCTCGCCCTCTCAACCCGGGACTGGGGCTACTGGACACGAGGGTCGGGATGCTCTCCTTCGGCGCCGACTGGAGCTTAGCGTACTGGTGGCAGCAGGAAGCTGAGGCAAGCTGGCCCCGACCCTAACGACGCGTCCCAGCCCCTCTCTGGGCCTAGGGTTCCCCGCCCGGGTAACAAGAGGCCGCTGCGCGAACGGGATTCCCTCAGGCGCCCTAGACGGGCAGGTCTCTGGGCCTCGGACGGTTAACCCGAGCACCTCCCGCCTGCCCCTGAGGCCCCACCTCACCACGCTCGGCTCCAGTAGACGCCCGGCTAGTTGCTCAGCGCTGGAGCTGCGGCAGCCTCTGCTAAGGCCCCGCCGGGGACGGGGGCAGGGCCCGCCCCCCAATCTCCCGCCCTTTGGGAGGGGCCCGCCCCGCCAAGTCCTGCACCTATAGGCAGACTGCGCCGGCGCAGGGCCTCCCGCCATATTGGGTATTGGCAGCCGACTTACTAGAGAGGCCCTGAAGGAAAGGGAGTATTATTTTGAGAATTATAAGATCCCTCGCCAGAAATGAGGACGGTCAGGGTCTCTGGATTCGCGAAAGGGATATTTTGGAAGCAGAGAAGAAAAATTGCCCTCAATCGTCTCCCTTTAGGCTTCAGTGTTATATATAGCGCATGTGCAAGGTCACCTGGTTCTAGGTGCGCCTGCGCACAGCTCCACCTACAAACCAGACTACAATTCCAACTGCGCGAGAAACAAAGGGGCTTGCTGCCACTGGTTGGCGATTAAACTGGCAGCGCGACCAGTTTCTGAGGGTTTTTCACCTTGCTGCTCAGACGCTCCCTGCAGCTTCAGGCAGCATAACACTTACAGGCGAGTTACTTGCGCAGCACTCGGTTTTGTCTACATGTCTGCACAGAGTGTTACCTTTACCTGACTTCATCCGTCCCGGAGCTGCAGTTTGTCTGCTTAAGCCTGACTTCTAGAGAACTTTTTCTTCCCTGTAGGACCCATGCGTTATTCCCTTAGCATTTTGTGTATACATTTTTTTTTTTTTTTTGAAATGGAGTCTTGCTCTGTCGCCAGGCTGGAGTGCAATGGCATGATCTCGGCTCACTGCAACCTCTACCTCCCGGGTTCAAGTAATTCTCCTGCCTCAGCCTCCCGAGTAGCTGGGACTACAGGCGCCCGCCACCACGCCCGCCTAATTTTTGTATTTTTAGTAGAGACAGGGTTTCACCATGTTGGCCAGGATGGTCTCCATCTCTCTTGACCTCGTGATCTGCCCGCCTCGGCTTCCCAAAGTGCTAGGATTACAGGCGTGAGCCACCGCGCCCAGCTATGTGTATGAATTGTTAATGCACTTTCTTAGAGTTGTAAACTCCATTTACCTGCCTCACTCTTGCAGTCAGTGGTTCTCAATTTTTAGTAGGAATTAAAAACAAAACTGGTAAATGCAGACTCTTGGATTCCACCCCCAGAGAATCCGTAAACCGGGGGTGGAGTCCAGGAATCTGCATTTTAGAAAGTACCCAGGGCGATTCTGATACATGGGGAACATGTTTTAGGAAGCACTGCATGAGATTGTGAGCTTGAGCGTAGAGACTGTAATTTGGTCATCTGACTATAGCGCTCAGCACAAGGCCTGGTACAAAATAGGTGCTCAGTAAGTGTTGAGTGAATGGATGAATGAGTGGATAGCTCGAGTAAAACAGCAAGGCTTTAGGTTAATCCACAGCCAAAGGTAATCTGAGAAAGGAACACTTAAAAGCTATATTTTATCTTTCTCCTGTAAGAACACAAAAAAGATCTTAATAGCTGATTTGAGGACTAGAGAAAGTGGAGAGTAAAAGGGGAAGGAAGGACACAGATTCTGAAAGGCAAACTAGAGAGGGGAAAAGGAACATCTCCAGTCACTAGACAGAGAAAACGATGCAAAGAAGCAGTGGTGTGGGATTCCATCCTAAGGGAATAATCGCACAACAGGCATTATGCATGAATGTTCAGTGCAACAATATTTGAAATAGAAATGAAACAATCTAAATGTTATGCACATGAAGCTCTTTTCTGCCTCAGGGCATTTGCATATACTCTGCCAGCTACGGAGACCACTTTTCCCCCAGCTCTTGGCCTAGCTGGTACCTTCCTGTCCTTCAGGTCCCAGTTTAAATGATACTTCTTCAACTAGGTCTTCCCTGACCATACTGTCTAAAGTAATACCTTGTATTTTCTAGGGTAGTCTTCTGTTTCTTTTCTTTTTTTTTTTTTTTTGGGACAGAGTCTTGCTCTGTCGCCCAGGCTGGAGTGCAGCAGTGCAATCTTGGCTCAGTGCAAGCTCCACCTCCTCAGTTCACACCATTCTCCTGCCTCAGCCTCCCGAGTAGCTGGGACCACAGGTGCCTGCCACCTTGCCTGGCTAATTTTTTTTGTATTTTTAGTAGAGACGGGGTTTCACCATGTTAGCCAGGATGGTCTTGATCTCCTGACCTCATGATCCACCTGCCTCAGCCTCCCAACATGTTGAGATTACAGGCGTGAGCCACCACGCCTGGTCGTATTCTGTTTCTTTCATAGCACTTTCCATTTATTATTTTGTTTTCCTATTAACATTCCCTCCAAAATTTAAGCTTCGTATGAATAGACTTATTCCTGGGATTTAGCACAGTCTCACATATATGGTAGGTATCAAGTAAGTATCCATTGAATGAATGAATCAAGTCAGCCCTAGTGTTACAAAGTTTAATGACATAACATCCATTAGCAAACTAGACAATATATTTTAAGACTATGAGGAGTCGGCTGGGTGCAGTGACTCATGCCTGTAATCCCAGCACTTTGGGAGGCTGAGGTCGGGAATTCTATACCAGCCTGACCAACAGGGAGAAACTCCATCTCTACTAAAACTACAAAATTAGCCAGGTGTGGTGGTGCATGCCTGTAATCCCAGCTACTCGGGAGGCTGAGGCAGGAGAATCACTCAAACCTGGCGGAGGTTATGGTGAGCCAAGATTGCACCATTGCACTCCAGCCTGGGCAACAAGAGCGAAAGCCCATCTCAAAAAAAAAAAAAAAGACTATGAGGAGTAAACAGGTTTCAGACTACCAAGATATACCAAACCAAACAGTAATCTTTGATGTTTGTAAAGGGGGATTCATTCCCTTATTTATTCATTCACCCAGTGGACATTTATTGAGCATTGATTATGTTCTAGTATTGAATAATAATACAATGTAGTAAGGACAAGTTGGAAATCATATTAAAACATAATAATGTAGTACAACTGGATATTATCTGAGCCAAAGCCCAAAGTGGAGTTAGCTGGTATGTGAAGCGGGGATAGGCAGGGGCAGGTGGGAATGGTTTTGGGATGAGACTTCCACCTCAGATCATCGGGCATTAGATTCTCATGAGCGTGTAACCTAGATCCCTCTCATGCACAGTTCTTAATAGGATTTGCCTCCTATGAGAATCTGATGCTGCTCCTGAACTGACAGGAGGTGGAGCTCAGGTGGTAAT